CGTATACAAAATGTGTCTGAGAAGCGGGAAGTGCTGTGAACAACTCCATTTTTCGTTAAAGAAATAATTGAGGATAAGTTGTGCCACAAATTTTTGACCGCGCTATAAAGGTGGCCACACCCGCATGGACCTCACCCCAAGTCTGACACGACCCTCCAAAACTGTCAACAATCGCTGCGTGTGTGGCCGAGCGTGGGTTCAGAAATTTACGCTGCGCCAAATATTTTCCCCATCAGTCTGGGGTGAGAGGAGTGGTAGGGGGAAAAAACAATCTTTTTTAAAAATGTGTATTTGACTCCAGATTCATTATCAGTGTAAACTTAAAGTGAAAAATTTATCAGGAGTTTCATTCTAAACGCCACGCCAATTTGATGTTTGATAAAAGTTATGTGTATGTGTGTGTGTGTGTGTGTGTGTGCGTGAGTGTGTGCGTGAGTGTGAGTGTGTGTGTGTGTGTGAGTGTGTGTGTGTGTGTGTGTGTATGTGTGTGTGTGTGTGTGTGTGGCTCGCTTTAGAGGTCGTATTCCTCATAACTGAAGCTTGAAGCAAGAAGTAACCCTCAGTTTGGCGAAAAGCTATCAGTATCAGTGAAATATATAATGTTCACGACTTCTGACTCGAAGCTACAGAGTACAGAGAGCCAAGCAGCCTGCCTTTAGAAATGATCTAAATAATAAATAGTGTTGAAAGCGATGTAAAAAGTTTACTTTAACTGTCAAAAGGACATGGGAGCTAACACTTAATAAAAGGAAGTAGAACACTTTTTGCTTGTGGAAGCTTTAGTTTTGTTCTAGTTTTGTTCTAGTTTTGTTCTAGTTTTGTTCTAGTTTCAATAAGTTTCATGACATTTGCAACACAATCATGTGAGATTTGAAGATTACAAGTGACACTGAAGAGAGTAACAAACAAAGGAAAGGATGAGGAGAGACAAAGACGATTGATCATGTTTGATAGGAAAGAAGGAGCAGACCACACATCAGAGCACCCGCCAACTGTCCACATTTGGAGTGTCTGTGTGTGTGTGAGTGTGAAGGGGAGACTGGTGAAGTAAAGCAGCATTTGGAGTGAGTGTGAGAGTGTGTGTGTGAGGGGTGTGTGGGGGTGTGTGGGGGGTGTGTGTGTGGGGGTGTGTGTGTGAGAGTGTGTGTGTGAGGGGTGTGTGGGGGGGGGTGTGTGAAGGGGAGACTGTAGAAGAAATGCAGCAGCAGAACTCTGTGAGTTTTTTTATTGAGATTTATTGTCACATAAAACATCTGAGGTCATCGTCATCATCATTAAAAAAACCCCCCAGAGAATGGCAAAGATGAGAGAGAGAGAGAGAGGGAGAGAGAGAAAGGGAGAAATTCCTTCCTCCAACCAGGATATGTACAACCAGTATCACAGACGCAGGGAACATGTTCCATGTACATAAATACACAAGTGTCGACGCACTCAAGTAGTCACGTCGCTCAAACATTCTCAAGGCTGTGCCAAAAATAGCAGCAAAGAGAAAAAAACAAAAAATTTTTTTTTTAAATGAGTACATGCATATATATA